GATRATGTTTTGTGTTCTAAATCTTTGATCTTTATGATTGAATTTGTCTGATAAATRTTTTCTCAMATCTTGTMAATTGATGATTTTTACAGGGATATCTCTCAAGATACAATAGCTAACTGTTTTGTTTCTCTGGTTGTGGGTTGTATTGTAGTTTTTTAATGGAATTTGATGCAAGGGTTATGATCACGTGAAGCTAAAGCAAGTATATTTTTTATTTAAACAACATGGTGAATCATGTTTTTTATTTAAACAACATGGTGAATCTGTCTTTCTATAATTCACTTGATAGAAATAGTTGTTTTCCTTTAAATTTGAAATCATCCCTAATTATCAGCGGTATATTAAAAGCACATAAATTTGTAATCAATTGAAATGGAGTTAATTACCATTTATTTGGTATCCGTTTCATTTTTCCCTATAAAGTTCTCATAATTCTCTTCCACATACTCATATAGATTCAATGATTTCCTTATTATTTCAACTTTCAATGCATTTTCTTTGTCGTTGCGTTATTCAGATGCTTGTGAACAATTGATAGTTGCGTTATTTAGATGCCGTTGATTTAATGTTATTGATTTCTATTTTGCATTAGGTAAGAGGAGCAGTTTCATAGTATCATACAAGGATAAGAGGTGTGCAGTAGTAGTCTCGACGTGTGTGCTATATGGTGAAGATAAACTTTTACGAAATTTTTTGACTGTCCAAGGCATTAAGTTAAAAAGTTGGTCTCTCCCAATTATAATAGATGTTAAAATCAAATTTATTCAAGTGGTTTGAGATTCAGAAGTTCAATCTGTCTATATCTTAGATTTAAAATGGTCTTCTTTGATTCTGCGTCCCTTGGTCTCTAGGCTCTATTACAAGCCTAGATACCAAGGGACATAAACATAAACATGGATGCTTCGTCCAAAGAACAAATTCTATTGAATTTGTTTATTTATTTTGTTTTAAAAGGATTTTGAATTTGAGATTGGATTCCTCGCAATTGTCTAGATTTTCTGCATTTGGATCCAATTATTTTCATTTCTGAACTTATTTTAATTAACCAGTTGGTTTTCTTGAACAAGTACAAATACAGAGAAGCTGAATCAGTCATTGTTTTTCTTCGTTTTAAGCTCAATGGTGAAGTCAGCGGAGTTGATGAGCCTCAGCTCAGAGACATATTCAGAGCAGAGAGGCCTATGACCTGTACGTTTCTTCGGCAACAAAGATGATCCTACATGTCTCTTTGATGTTAAATTTTGTGACAGAGTCGTCAAATTAACTAATGAAGTACCATCACCCAAGAAACAGTTTCAAGCAGGATCTACAAAACCCTTTGTAGGCTCAAAGAGAATGTGGATGTAACAATGAACTAAGTTCTACGTAAATGTACAAAATGATCCTGCATCATATAAAAAACTTTGACAATATGATGTATTTGAATAAGTTTTTATATATTGGGTGGATGAGGGTAAAAATGTGATGAGTAGTAGTATTACAAAGAGTCAAAATAGCACCATTTTTCACAAAATGCCAAAAACACAATGCTTCTCTAGAAAAGAGTGTTATATGAGCCAATTTTCTTTTTAATCATCCAAGACAATAGAATTTACAAGTTTAAATCTCATTTTCTACCATTTTATTTATGAAAATTTTTAAAAAATGTCACTTTTCAAGTAGCATTTTTTAAAAATGCCACATTTTCAAAATTTTTACAAAAAAAAAATATTATATCATTTATGTTTGGGTTAACTATGTTGTATTAGAGTTTAGTTTTGAGGGTTTAAGGGGTTTTAGGGGTAAAAACACTTTTTAGGGTTTATAATTTTAAGATTTAGGATTTAAAAATCCATAATTAGTGGCACTTTTGTAAATGGATACCCCTACATGACATTCTTGCAAATGTACACACAAAAAATGTTATTTTTGCAATTGCCATTTTATTGATTGGGAAGCAAATTATGATTACTTTCAACATTTCCAAAAAGAAAATTTCATCTTTAAAACAAAAGAAGATAACAGTACAAAAAAATACTCAAATAATTTTATTTGTTTTTATAACATACCATAAAATTTGAGAAAAAAAATAGACAAACTCCCGCGCGTATGCGCGGATACTCATCTAGTCTTATATAATATTTTAAAGTTTTTCAAAACCGAAACTCCGAGAGATTGCCAYGTGTCACTCTCAATTTTAACTTATGTGTATTCCTATTAATTTGACAATTAATTTTGACCACTAATTCTAATTTTATAGTTTTTGACAAAATATGTCCTTTATTTATGTTTTGGAGAAAAAGAATTTTGTAATTAAAACAGTTTATGTTAGAAAAAGTAATGGTACAACCTACACACTCATTGTGATCATCGCATTGCATTGAAAATAAAACCAAATAAATTATCATGGCTCTCAACATCTCATTGGTATTATTTTTGTTTGTAGCATATTTACAGAAAATTAACTCTTATTTTTTCTTGATTGGCAACAATTACATAATCTCTAATCAAGTAAAATGATTTTTTTATATTTCCTTTCCTTACAGTCTTTAAATACTAATTTACTGCAAAATTGTTACTTGCTCCTATCAATGTTAAAATGTGTTTTTGCATATTTATTGGTATTGATTTAATACCATGATCATATATATAAAGATATGTCTCAATCATAATAGATATATTAACTCACATAATATATGTAACTCACATAAATTTATGTTAATTCATATTTATTTACGATTAATACCAAATTTATGTAATATTAATTATACAAATAATCAATAAATTACAAATATTGCATATTTTTCCATGTCAGATTTTAAATCTACGCAATGCGTGGAGAATCCCTTGTAAATCTATATTTTAAGGTTATGCTGTACTTTGTATCTGTATTTATATTTGTATGAGAATCAATTTTTCGTCTACTTTTTTAGATGTTTATATTGTTCCTTTTCTAAAGCATTGTAAATTAGTAATATGAATTATAAAAAAAAAGCATAGTAATCTTTGCAAATATTTATAACTAATATAAAAAAGAAATCTTTTTTGCAAATATTTATAACGTTTTCCGGTATGATATATGGACACTTACCGATCTTTCTTCCCTCTATTAATAAAACTGTTGAGTTTCCCGATTAATTACTTCCACAAGAACCCTAATCTCTCTAAAGGTTAATTCGAAAGTAAATGACACTGCCAAGCTATTGAGTTCCTTTTTCCTTAGGGTACATCTCATGGGAGTTTCTCCTTCGAAACTTCACTAGAGAAAAAGACTATTAATTACACACATTACTCACTTCATAGTGCTGATTTTGTTTGGGTTTACATAAAGCGATT